GAGTTTTTAAATCATCAGAGGAGGCCTTTCATTTGGTCCTACCACTTTCACAGGTGCATTTGGTGAGTACATGAGAGGAAGGTCTTTTCTGTTGCTGCTTCTAAGCTGTGGAATTCTCTCCAATAGGAGGCCAGGCTCGCTCCCTCTTTACGTCTGCAAGCCCACAAATATCTTTCTCTTCAGGCCAACTTTTTCTCAGTAACTGGCCAAAGATAGGGTTCTTAAGAAGGTTTTTTGAATGATTTTGTTTTTATTCACTAGTTTTTGATTTGTTACCTTTTAAATTCTTGTTTAATATTGTAATGATTTATTTTTAGTTTTAATGTTGGTTTTGTAAGCATCTTTAGCTCCTCTTGAGAAGAATGTTGTAAGCTGTTAAGTCCTCCTGAGAAGAAAGGAAGGAAATTAATTAATTTATTAATTAGCTACTAAAATACACTTTGCACTGTCAACCATTCCTCCCAAAGCTTGGTGTCTTAGACCCTTTTCTAGCTTGCTTGCCCTTTTCTGACCACCACCTTCACAGGTGCATTTGGTGGGGACATAGAAAAAGGCCTTCTGTCTTGCTGCACCAAAACTCTGGAACTCCCTCCCACAGGAGGCCAGGCTGGTCGATCTTTGCTGTCTTTCTGCAAGCAGACAAAGACCTTTCTCTTCAGAAAGGCTTTACCATGATGACTAGCTGTGTGAGAGAGTTTTTTTAAATGGAGTGTTGTGCCTTGTTACTTGGAATCTGTTTTTAGTGTTGATTTTGTTTACCAATTTTAATGTGATACTTGTATTATTCTTTTAAAATTTATATGGTTGCTATTCTCAGCTTTCAGATATTGTCATTTAATAATGTAAACTGTCTTGGGACCTTTTTAAGGAGAAAGGTGAGGTAAAATATTTTAAATAAGTAATAAATAAGTAATAAATACAATAAATTCACAGACATTAGGTATTAATTGAATTTAGCAACATAAAATTCAAAAGGATAATTCTTGATGAATCACAAAATGCCCTAAAGTTGTTGCAATGATCTTGCAATTTCCCTTTTCTTGGAAGTACATGCCCACAGTCTCAAAAGAAAAACCCAATCTGTATGTGGGAAGGATACCTTTCTTCATTCAATTTTTGTCAGCCTGTTCTTTTTCTTATTATTTACCTTCCAGGATAACTTTCAGTTCCTTCTTTGCTACTGTCCTCCCACATCCGTTAAAAGTAGATATACATAACCCATAAGATCTGCCTTTATTATTCTCTTAATTTGTGTTATGTCATTTGCCACTGCACGGAGCAGGTTGAAAAGCATTATTGGCCCAGAATGACTCATAACCTTTGCTTTGCCTGCCCTTATACTAGAGAAACATCCAGTGGCTGTGGTGTTTTCCTGTATGTAGAAAGAAATTTGAGGAAGAAAAGAATTTATGCTGAAGTGGCATACATGTCAGATCTTCTGTTACTGACATGGATATTCCCCTCCCCCGTGTTTTTGTATAAGCATCTTACCTAATTATTTTACTCTTGGCAATAATGTTCCTGAATGTTACTAATGATGACTATGCTAATAGAGCAAACATGAAAAGGGAAAAAACCTATTCGAGATCCTATTTGCAATTCATACTTTTGTAGTATTCTTTTTTATTTAAAGTTTTAATATATTCTAATACAGTATAAGTAAGTATAAGAAATTGGCCTGTGTTGGAATTCTGGGTTTGTCTTGCATATTTATAACTAATTTGTTTATTGGGATTATTTATTATACACTTTCAAAGCTAGAAGAGAAGCTAAGAGTGCCACTTAACAAAGTATATCAAGAAAAGGTATAAAATATTTATGAGTCTTTTTCCCTTCTCTATTGGATATTATTTTCAATCAATATCACTCTGATGTTTTGTTTTTACAAAACTTTTCTGTTTTCATTCCTTACCTTTGTTTCATTTTTTTGAATAAAAGTAACTCATGTAGGTTTATTTAGCAGTGTTCATATCTTGGAGTAATTCAAGCACTCCAGACATTGGTTTTCAATAGATCGAGACTCATTGATTTACTATGTCAATCAGTTTGATAGTGGCTGTTTAAAGGATTGTTAATGGCTTTATTTTTCAGTATTCTCTGTTCAGAATCATTTGAGAGGAAATGTATTTGTGACTGAAAGTGGATCAGGAACTGTGTCGCAACAGACCAGATTAGCTTGCATCTTTTATTGAGCATGCTAGGGTGCTGGGAACATGGCTATCTTTGCATTTGTACTGTGGGAAAAGAACAGATTATGTTGTATTGCCTGCCTCAAGTGACAAATTTTGGAAAAGGATAACTGATACGGATCTCAAGTCTACCATATAATTCAGATCTTGCAATTAGTGGGTGTCACATCCACCCTGTGTCCTTGGTTTATTTTCTCTAAACCCAAGCGCACCCTCTGGATGCTTTTCCTCCTTTCACACTGCCACCAGGTATTATTCACTCAATGCCAATTAGATAGATCTTAGACACGTGCTGCCAATACAACAGATTTATTGATCTTGTAGATGTTATGCAAATCACAGGAGAAAATCACAGACATTTAGGCTTATTCATTAAATATCATTTGCTTTCACATTGGTTTGTATGTGTATTTAGTTACTGTTACAATATTCTTGGACTATCGATTCTCTATACTTTTGAACTCTTTCCTACTCTCTCTATCATTCCAGTTTTCCAATCTCTCTCTTAACTTTCACAATTCAATCTCCTGCTTTCCAATCTCCCTCTTAACTTTCACAATTCAATCTCCTAACTCTCTCTCCTCAATTTCCTATCTCCAACCTCTTTTCTCAAACTCTTCTCTCTAACTGCCTAACCAACTGTCTAACTCCTAACCAAGTGGCTAACTGTCCTTTTGGTTCTGCCCCTCCTGTCCTCTCATAGGCTCCTGCCCTTGAGCTCCCCATGATGGACAGGCGTGACGTGGGGGGTTCCGCCACAGTGGGCTCAACACACTATAAGTAGATGGCCTGTTAGAACTCTATGCTTAATGAACAGAGTGTTTGGGGAAAGCATTTTGCAAAAATTCTCAATCTTAGGATGCAAAACTTCTGCATCCATCAGGAGAGACAAATGCAAGGACAAAAGTTGCTAAATAGAACATAACTACAGCTGTGTGTAGAAACATGTGACCTGCTGGCTGCATGTGGCCCCCAATACTTCTGGGACCCACAGCTCCCCATATCTTAAAAACGTGTTTCCTTCTTGCTGGATTAGTGGCAGTTTTGGAGTATTAAAGGCTGTTCAAGTCCTGAGGCTCCCAAAGGCTTTCCCAGTTCAAAGGAATCCAAAGAGCATTGGAACCTGGTGGGATAGAATAGGAAACTATGAGTGATAAAAGCCCCAGCTGATGATACCATCAGTTTGTGCAGGCATAACTTTATGCAAGAGGATTTTAGTTAAAGAGTAGTTAAAGCTATTCAACAGCAATCCAGCTACATTGCCAGAAAACTGGCCTTGTCTCTCAGCAGCACAGCCGCAAGGAGGCTAGTCTACCTTCCCTTGGGATGGAGGTCCATAGGCTAGGAGCAACTGTTGAGACAGCCCTTGACACATTTGACAAGTAAGAAACGTGTCTACTTCAAATGGGTATAATTGAGTACTAACCCATTGGAGAGCTGGGAGGGTTGCCTAGAGAGAAAAGTTTGTTGCTGCTACTGTTCAAAAAGAAAAACAATAGCCATTACAATAACAATGGAGGTATTGTACTATATTTAGCACATGTGCTTGGCATAAAACATTAGATTGTGAAAAGACTAATAGATCATAATGGTAAAAAAAGGATTTTTAAAAAGTTCTTCAGCATAAAAAAAGAGAAACATCCTCTGCATTCTGGGTTAGTTTGATTGACAAGCCACCATGTTATCTTCCTTTTTTTTTAATCATGTGCATTTCATTTTATTATATAGTGGATTTTAAAAAATGACTTTTACTTAATTTGTATGCTTTGAAAGAAATGGCAAGTGTATCATCCATCTGTATATGAATTTCTTGGGTTTTTCTTCTCTGCTTATGGAAAATGATATTGTGTGTCCTGTGTTGCTCAGTCAGAAGCTGTATTGTATATTCTTTCAGTATAGTTCTTGCAGGTTAAGAAACTGTAGCAGTAGTGTAGGGGAGCAGCTTGTTCTCCTATTATTATTTAAATTATGCCCATCTATTATTAATTTTGAATATTTATTAGTTTTTGTGATACCTTTTTTCTTTATTCAATAAGAGATAATCATACATTCTTAAGGGAAATACAGCAGAATAAATATCTCTCCCCCTCCTCAGTCTTACTGTCTTTTATGCAGACTATATTCCATAGGGTTTTACACAGAAGAGCATGTTTTAAAAACCTGAGCACCTTCAAATAATCTTCTTATTCCTGTTGATGTTTAATGGGGCCTGCGTACATGCTGCATCTCTCAAGATCAGGATCTAAAGTGATATGAACTTCTCCCAAATGGGAAAGAAATTAAAAAGGCAAATGCTGTGAAATGGAATAAACACTTGCAAAGATGTAGAGGTGCTAAAAAGCATGAAAAGTGAGGTGTGCGTAGGTATATTAATGTAGCTTGCAGTATTTGAAAAATTGCCTTTCATTGGAAGTTCCTGTATACTCTCTGGCACGCTTTTGTTGACATGCATAATTTAGGTTTGGTCATAATCCACTGTATTTGCCTAAATAATAATAGCTTAATAGTCTGAAATATCAAGTATTGTTCAGAAAGATAAGATGAATTCAGTACTTTAAAAGACAACCGCTACATGCAGGTACTGTATAGTTTTTGCTGCTATATATCTCCCATTTAGATTTATGCATACTTTTTATTTAAGTAGGTAAGGCAATGCAAGTTTAGGAAATCTGAAATTCTAAAGAATGCTTTGCAGAATGATGTGATGCCTATTTGTTTCCGAAAATGATGTTGGTTTTTAAAAGTTTTTGAGTTTCCACCACATAATTTGGTATTATTGATTGTTTCGTCTCCCTTTCTCTTTGGTTCCAGCTGAGCTACCAGGATCATCAGCAATCAGACTTTCTTCCTTACATGATCTTCCAGCTCAGCTACAAGAATTCTACCAGCAGGGCTTCATCTTGGCTGCTGTCCATCCCTTTGTGCAGCCAACTGATGAGAATGAGAAGACTCCCCAGGAACAAATCTTCAGGGCTGTGCTGATCAAGAAAGCAGAAAGGTAAAGCTCTTCTAGTGAACTGGGAGCAAAAAAACAACAACGGGATTTCCTGCTGAGATTTGACCTAGATCAAGAAATTATAGCAGTGTCATGTTAATATTTGACATGCAAGGCTTGGATATTCTTATAGGCTTAGCTTGTGTTTTGTGTTTATGATTTACCTTCAGCTTTATGATAGTCTATGAGGGTGACATGTTGAACTGTATTTCATATTTCAGAACACATTATCAGTAGGAGACAGCCAGTTCTGAGCAGAGACTTGGGAGGTGACTTTTTTTTGTTTTTTGTTTTGATACTTTTATTTTGCTATGTGCAGCTATGGAAAACATTTGCATTTGACTTGTTATACTCCTGTTGCCTTTATAGCCAGTGCTATTACAAAGACAATAAAGTACTTATTTGTATTACATTACGCCCTACACCCATGAAATAAATTCCCAGTTAAATACTGATACGTTCTATTAAGTATGTATGGATTATATTTTCTTCTTTTTCTTTTAGTAATAACTAAGTGGCATGTTTTAATACTGCCTGTGTTCAAATGGAGTAATGAGCAAAATATATGTACACTTCTTCCTGCATCAAAACTGGAATTAGGGGCACTAGATCCCTGTGTAGTTCAAAGTCTGTGTATAACTCCTATGCCCCCCAAAGTATTGTTTCATTGTTTAGTCGTTTAGTCGTGTCCGACTCTTCGTGGCCCCATGGACCAGAGCAGGCCAGGCCCTCCTATCTTCCACTGCCTCCCGTAGTTGTGTCAATTTCATGTTGGTTGCTTCGCAGACACTGTCCAGCCATCTCATCCTCTGTCGTCCCCTTCTCCTCTTGCCTTCACACTTTCCTAACATCAAGGTCTTTTCTTCTCATGAGATGGCCAAAGTACTGGAGCCTCAGCTTCAGGGTCTGTCCTTCCAGTGAGCGCTCGGGGTTGATTTCCTTTAGAATTGATAGGTTTGTTCTCCATGCAGTCCAGGGGACTCTCAAGAGCCTCCTCCAGCACCGCAATTCAAAGGCATCAATTCTTCGGTGGTCTGCTTTCCTTATGGTCCAGCTCTCACTTCCAAACATCACGACAGGAAAAACCATAGCTTTGACTATTCGGACTTTTGTTGGCAAGGTGATGTCTCTGCTTTTTAAGATGCTGTCAAGGTTTGTTATCGCTTTCCTCCCAAGAAGCAGGCGTCTTTTAATTTCGTGGCTGCTGTCTCCATCTGCAGTGATCATAGAGCCCAAGAAAGTAAAATCTGTCACTGCCTCCATATCTTCCCCTTCTATTTCCCAGGAGGTGATGGGACCTCCTGGAAAAGACTGATCTTTTCCAATCCTCTGGCCACTGTTGAGTTTTCCAAACTTGCTGGCATATTGAATGTAGCACCTTAACAGCATCATCTTTTAAGATTTTAAATAGTTCAACTGGAATGTCATCACCTCCACTGGCCTTGTTGTTAGCCAGGCTTTCTAAGGCCCACTTGACCTCACTCTCCAGGATGTCTGGCTCAAGGTC